GGGGGTGTGGCGTCAGAAGTAACATTGGCGAAAAAATAGCCGCCAAAGTTTGGTGACTTCAAAGTTTGGGTGTCCTTCGAAATTGTAAATTTATATTTTTAGTACCGTACCTTTGATCAAAGTTTTTCTGTAAAAATCACATCCGAAATGCGCATTTAGTGGGCATAAAAGGTGTGGAACCAGGAAAATATGTGAGGCAGCGTGGTGGAATCAGGCTCTCGTCAAAATAATCAAAGTGAAGAAACATGCATTTTTCTACGGGTTTGTGAATTTTTATCAAATTTTTATTTTTTGGCACCACACCTTTCATGCCCGTTAAAGAACTAATTTCGGTGTGCATTTTTCTGAAAAACGCTGATTAAAATTACAATAAATGTAAACTTCCACTTGCCATGGACTCTTCAACTAAGAAAACAACTAATCTTTGGCAGCCATTTTCTCACTAATTTTACCTCTGAAAACAGTTGACCCAATCTCCTTCATTCGCAAATATCTCAACTTGTACTCAAGATAAATGGATATTTTTTTCATCCAAATAAAGACAACTGAACAAGCTTTAAGATGATACCAATAACTCTACATGCCCCAAAATTGACGAGAGCCTGATTCTGCCACGTTGCCTCACATATTGATAAAATTTTTGCTCAACGGGTGGAAAAATGCCGATTTCTTCGATTTAATTTCATTATTTTAGATGTAGTTTTAGTAAGAGTTTTACGGCACTTGCAACACAATAGGGTCATTCATATAAGGGCCGTTTCATTCTAATTTTGACGAGCGTCTGATTTCACCATGATGCAACACAATGTATTAGATTATACAATGATATCATTATATATGACGAAGTTCAGTCTCAGTTTGTGTGTGTATAGAGCATGAAGGTCCAACAGCTTAAGATAAGTACATTGTATATGCGTGGTAAAAACACGTTGGCGCGCTTTCTTTTGTTACTGTAAATAAACCCCACCCTCTTGCTATCTTTCTCTGTCTCTGTCTTAATCTCTATTTGTTTTTGTTTTTCTTGTTTGTTCGGTAGTTTGTTTGGTTTTTTTGTGGGAGAAGGCTTGGTGTTCGATTTTACCTGCTATAAAATCAGGGGTGGGGCTGAAAGATAGGTGAAAGAGGTGAAACAAAGGAGGTGAAACGAGAACATTTTCCGTCGCTATCAAGTTTAAAGCCCGGGACCTATTGGATAAGAAGCGATCACCGTAACCTTTACAGCACGAGATCCCCCTTATTGTTCCTTAAATAATTAATTATTAGTGAGGCCCTTTCTGTACTGCATCATTTGATTTCTTTTCCGTCCGTAAAATTCTCAACAGTTTCCTATAAGTCAGTATCACCGGCGTCTGTGATGT